CTCCCAAGGAATCTTAAATGTATAATTTGTCTTCTCATGATGTAGACCTGACAGGAGCTCAGGATGGCAGTGTCAGAATGTTTGAATGGGGACATTCTCAGCAGATAACTTGCTTTCGGTCTGGTGGCAATTCAAGAATTACAAGAATGAGATTCAACTACCAAGGAAATAAGGTACTATGTAAAAATGTTAATGAGAAAAGATAACTGTGTTGAAAGTTTTAATTATTACTTGTTTGGGCTTTTAAGAGTAGCTCAGTGGGCTGACAGTAAAGTGTCTAATTCATACAAATTATTTTCTTAAAATGTGTCTCAAAATACATTTAAATTCATTTGGTTATCACGCAGTGGGGTAAGCGTATGTCTCCACTAAAATTAGGTTAAAATATTGCTTAAGGACCAAATGACTGTAATTCATAGTTGAATGACAAGTGTCAACTTCTTTATCCCTGGAATGTACTCTGATTGTGATTCAGAATCAAGCAGCAAATCACACCAGGAAGCTTTGTTCAATGTGCAGACCTCCCAAACCAGCATCTCCATTTGAGATTTGTGTACCTGTTTCGGATGCAAAGTATGGCCTGGCTCCCTGTTGTCTTTTTGCATTCATCCTACTTTCTTTGGGTATAGCTCACTACAACAGTACAAAGACCTTAGAGTGAGCAAGCCAAAAAAAGTTCATTACAGGAAGCGTTGGCTGACCCTGCTTGTGAACATCTCTCTCTCTCTTAGCTTACCATATTCCAGCTTTCTTCAGGTTGCTTCCCGAGGCACGTCACATCGACTACCACTTTAAACAATGACTAAATAGTGAATCACCCACTTGTTCTTTGCACAGAAAGTTACTCACATGGTCTAGCTGATGGTGTAATTTTCCTTTCCCCCATAAGGCCTACCTGATGCTGTGCTTGCCTGTCCCTCACACACACACACAGCCTACCTGATGCTGTCCCTGTCCCTCACACACACACACACAGCCTACCTGATGCTGTGTCTGCCTGTCCCTCACACACACAGCCTACCTGATGCTGTGTCTGCCTGTCCCTCACACACACACGCCTACCTGATGCTGTGTCTGCCTGTCCCTCACACACACACACAGCCTACCTGATGCTGTGTCTGCCTGTCCCTCACACACACACACACAGCCTACCTGATGCTGTGTCTGCCTGTCCCTCACACACACACACAGCCTACCTGATGCTGAGCCTGTCCCTCACACACACACACAGCCTACCTGATGCTGGGTCTGCCTGTCCCTCACACACACACACGGCCTACCTGATGCTGTGTCTGCCTGTCCCTCACACACACACACAGCCTACCTGATGCTGAGCCTGCCTCTCCGTTGCAGGTCTTAGCAGTGGTGCAGCTTTCCTTTCCTCCCCTCTTTACGTGTTGCTGCATCCCACTGACTGTTTCTATCACATGCACAGTTTGCATTTCACAAAAGTGGATGCTTTCTCATTTACTTATAAAACTAAATTTTGAGAGTTTATTTCAAAACAATATTAATTAGTAAGTCTGTTCCTTAGTGGATATTAAGGAGATTTAACACAGAAGCCTTTAGAGTTTGATAATACTGGTTGAGTGAACCTAATCTAAAAATGTGAAATGCTTTCAAAGTACTTTTGAACAGTTTTGAAGCTCAAGAAGTTTCAGATTTCAAAGGAGGAGGCTACAATGCTTGATAAGAAATGTGCTCTTTATCTTGCCCATGTAATTGTAACCCCTCTGTACAGTATCTTCACAATAAAAAAAAAAAGAAAAAAAGAAGTTTCAGATTTCAGATTTTAGAAGGGAAACGCAACCCAAACCATCATGTTCTGTCAGGTGCTTGTGTTTTACACTGTGCTTGTCCTGCCTAAAAACTAGGAAGGAATAGGTTATTTAAAACCCCCTTTCAAATTCATGTATGACTCGACTCAAAAATTAAGATGATGTTGGGTCCAAGTGGCTCACACCTGTAATACAAGAGGTTGAGATCCGGAAGGTCCAGTTTGAAGCAGACCAGGCAGAAAAGTACTTGACACTCCATCTCCAAAATAACCAGCTAATAATAATAATAAATAATAATAAGAAGAAGAACAACAACAACAACCAGCCATGGGCTCAAGAGGTAGAGTGCTGGATGAGTAAGCAAACCCAGAAAGCCTGAATCCCTGAGTTGAATCAAAGTCCATCAGAAAGAAAAAAAAAAAAAAAGATGACAAGCAGTAGAGCAGTATCCACAGAGTCCTGATGGACCAGGAATGGGAACGGAGTTTATCTGCCCAAACTGTTATAGACCCTCTTAGGTGTACATTCCATGATTATCTCTTCTATGGAGATGTTCTAGGCATGTTGCCTAGGTCTATTTCAGAGAAGGTAGGGCAAACAAGAAAAACAAACCTATACTGGAAAAGTGTAAGAGACACACAAATAATAGGTTGGTATTTCTCATATTAACCCTACTCAATTTTCCAAAAGACATTTTTAAGACAAATGATATGAACACTTTACCAAACATCTGTTCTTGCTAGGCTAGTATGATTCCACTAGGCCACGCCTCCAGCCAAAAGTCTTGGTCATTAATCTTTCCTAGTAATTGAGGAAATTACATTAAAACTTTTGCTGAATAAAATTAACAAAAATATTACCTTACTCATGCCCTTTGTACAGTATCTTTACAACAAAAAAATATTTAAAAATTAGCATGTAATTTAAATTCTAGTAGTATCCAAAGTTAATGTGTAAGTAAAGTGGGTACAAAATGTGTATTACTACTTTGAGTTTATGTTTGCCTTCATCTGCCAATTTTAAGTAATGTTCATTGCCCAAGCTTTCCCCTTTCTAGATATTTATACTATATAATTATGCAAGCTATATGTATAAGAATGTTCAACTCATCTCTTTTAGGGTAAAGTAAAAACAGCTTACCAATGAAAACTTTTAATAATATATCTGTATAGTATAATACTATACAGCACCAGAATGAGCTAGCCAGACCCTGGTGGCTCATGCCTGTAAGCCTAACTACTCAGGAACCTAAGATCTGAGGATCATAGTTCAAAACCAGTGTGGGCAGGACTGTCCATGAGATTCTTATCTCCAGTTAACCACTAGAAAATTGGAAGTGACGCTGTGGCACAAGTGGTAGAGCACTAGCCTTGAGCTGAAGAGCTGAAGATTAGTGCCTAGCCCCAGAGTTCAAGCCCCATTACCGAATTTTTTTTAAAGTATGAGCTAAATTTATGTTTTGACATGGATAGTTACCCTAAGTTTAAAATGTAACTATGGATCTATTATGATCCTATTTGTACAAAAGAGCTATATATGAATGCTTGAATATTCATAGAAATTATAATGGAGTCAAAATAACCTCATTTCTACAGTTGAATTGTTCTGCCAAGATAATCCTTATCTTTATGTATTTTTCTTCTTGAGTGTTAATTTTTTTCAAAATGATTGAAGTTTTTTTATCATACTTGATAAAGCTTTATTATATAGTTTAATGCATAGCTTAATCCAATATTCTACTTTTGAAATACTTCTAGAGCACATGTGATGTAGATTACCAGTGATGCAGATTATTGTCACTAAAGGGTTATTTGGTGTTTGCTTCCATTACATCTACCCTGGAGTTTCTTTTTAAGCAGCAGCTAAATGTTTCTGTGAGTTAGATTCATGCACAAGTGAAGTAAAAAGTCAAATATCCGAATGTTTAAGATTGAAAGTGTGGTGTTAGTGTGGGTAGGAATAAAAATGGGCTTTTGCATTTACATTAAAGTATGTCTTTCTTTAAGTTTGGAATAGTGGATGCTGATGGATATTTAAGTTTGTATCAAACAAACTGGAAATGTTGTCCGGTTACTGGGAGCATGCCTAAGCCATACCTGGTAAGCCAATTCAATTTGTTATACATTCTAATTTTTTATTTTAAAGAAACCAAGAATGTATTGGAAGCAAGAAAGAGTAAAGCACCTGAGTAAGTCTGTCTAGCCTTCAATGAAAACTCCCCAGGGGGTCGTAAGAATCCCTAGACTCTGGTAATTTGGAATGTTGACCTGTGTATGGACTTCCATGCAACCTTCACTGAGCTGGGAGTCAGCTCTTTCCCTGAAGAAAATAATTATCATACCAATATATGAGACCATTGTCTTTTTTGGGGGGAGGGGTGGTGTGGAGAGGGGTGCCATCCTGACCTGGGGCTTGAACTCAGAGCCCGTCACTGAGCTTCTTTTGCTCAACGGTGGCCCTCTACCACTTGAGCCACAGCTCTGTTTCTGCTTGTTTTTGTTTTGTTTTTTGGTTATTACTTGGAGATAAGACTCTCACAGACTTTCCTGCCTGGGCTGGCTTTCAATTATGATCCTCAGATCTCATCCTCTTGAGTAGCTAGGATGACAGACATAAGTCACTGGCTCCTGACAGGCTGTGTTCTTGCTATTAGCCGTAAACCTTTATGAACAAAGTAGAAAGGACATCCTGTACCTGGTATTATTAATATTGGCTTTTGGTTTTGGTTTTACCTATATTTTTTTCAGCTAGACATAGATTGGTTTAAGTCTCTTCAGATTTAGTCAACTTTCTTTGGCTTCAGTGAATAGTGACATAATATTTAATATATTCTCTAGGGAAGTCTCTCCTTTGCAGAGCTAAGCAATACCAATCAGGGAGAAGTAACAGGTATAGATTATGATTCTAGGAATTCACCTATGAGTAAATGCTAGAGTATAAGACTGATCTAAGCGAGAGTAAGGTTAGGTTACCTTTAAAGCGTATTTCTCATATTTTCATTAAAGCAACAAGTTTAAATGCAAGCTCATGTTGCCCAAGACACTGCCTTTTTTTTTCTAAATTTACTTAAATATATCAATTTATTAAGTTACTTTGAAATATTGGGAAGTTCCATAAGTATTCTAACATTGATGACTCATTTTTTACTTACATATTTGAACAGTAATATGCAAATTTATTTCTGAAAAGTAAATATCAGCAGGCTGCTTGTGGTTCATGCCTATATAATCCTAGTTACTCTGAGGATCACGATTTGAAGCCAACTGGGGCAGGAAATTCCATGAGACTCATATCCACTAAACTACCCAGAGAAAGGTAGAAGTGGTGCTGTGGCTCAAGTGGTAGAGTGTTAATCTTGAGCAAAAGAAGCTCAAGGGGGTGGGGGGAGGATTGTAGGGGGGGGCGGAATGAGGATGGGAAGGGGAAACAAAGGAGGAGGCTACAATGCTTGATAAGAAATGTACTCATTATCTTGCCCATGTAATTGTAACCCCTCTGTACAGTAT